GGTTTAAGACCATTAGTATAAACAAACTAAGGAAAGATTACATGCAGGTAGTTAGGTGAGGGGGAAAACAACATATAGTATATTGATCAGTCATAATTAACTACAATATTAGCCTATAAAAGAGTGTATAAAATATCAAATGAAATTGTAATTACAATGTTATAAAACAAAATGTACATAAGTGATCGAATAAAAGACCAACATGATGTGTAAACTTTCCAACAACTAAAAACAAAGAAAAAATTAAAATTGTTGCTCTTAGATGTTGTTATTTTCTACTCACAGTAACCTCAGAAAGCTACAGTAGTTCAAACTGCGAAGCTAGTATAAAGTGCATATATAAATTCATAGAACAGCACTAAGAGGTGAGATATTAATTCATACTTAGAACAACGGGGCCAACCCCATTCAACAGAGAATCTTCTTCAATCAATAGTGCTAGCCTACTTAGATGTTTACATGTAAAAGGAGGAAGCTGGACTTGTATCTTACACCACATACATGTTGTTGTTGTTGTTGTTGTTGCTATTGTTAAGTGCTGTCGAGTCACAGGCAACTCATAGCAACCCTATAAAGGAGAGTCCTCAACGCTTGGGTGTCTCTCATTCTCTCTCCAGGTTCATAGGGTTTCCGGAGGCAAGCTATTATGGAAGTGGATGCCACTCCTCCAAGCTTGTTTTAATCAGGGAGCTCCACCCTACTCTCTGTCCACATTGGATAACCAGCCATTAATGCATTTGACACATCAGTGTCACAGTGTTCAGCCTCACAGCAACCACAAGTTACAGCTGTACGGCAACTTGTACACCAGGGCTATATGACCTAGAGGAATGTCTGAACAAAAACAATGAAAGACCATATACATATGTGAGATATATATATCTCTCTCTCAGAATGAATCAGTTACCTAATTATAAGACTTAAAACCAAACTGTTAAAAGGAAACACAGAGGATATCATGCTAAGCAAAATAAGTCACAAAAAACCTATTATATAGACTATCAAGATGAATATTTAGGTATGGTATCCCCAAATCACAAGCAACAGGAACAAAAAATAAATATGTAGGAGATAATAAAAACGAAAAACTTTGGTGCTTCAGAGGATATTATCAAGAAAGGTAAGAAGTCTATACAATCATTTTCACATGTACACAATTCTAATTCACAAGCTGCTCCACGGGAGAAAAATGGGCAATCCCCTCTCTGAAAACTTGCTGGAGCATCAGCTATGAATCAGTTTCAACTCAATGGTACACAACAACTAGTAGAGATACTATCATCTCTTCTACTTCTAATTGTGGTGTTGGATAAAAGCAGTGAATATCCCATGGACTGCCAGGAGAACAAAGAGATCACTCTTGGAGGAAGTGCAACCAGGGTGTTCCTTAGAAGCAATGATGGTGAAAGTTAATCTCACATACTTTGGACATGTTGTCCTAAAAATCATCATCATCACCATCATCATGCTGGGAAAGTTCAAAGATCAGCGAAAGATAAGACACTCCTCAACAAGATGGACTGACAAAGTGTCTGTAACAATGGGCTAAAGCATGACAGAGATCTGAGAACAGCTCAGAACAGAGCAAGGTTCTGATCTATTGTTCATAGGGTTGTAATGACTTGACTCAATGACACCTAATGACAAAACCTCTCTATACAATACAGTTAGTTATCTCTTTCTAGCAGTATGAAAGGAAAAAGTGAGTTGTCACAAGAAACAACCTTTCAGTCTCCAAGGACTGGGGAGATTAGAGAAGTCTCTTTGCTTCTCGTCTCATTCCCTGAAATCCATTTTATACTGTCACCACAATTAGAATTCTATAATGTAAGCCTGACCAGATAATTCCTCTTCTCATTACAATCTTTCATTAAGACCTGATGACCAGCATGGGTAAAAGATCCAAAACCCAAGAGAACCCAAAGGAGAAAGCTATCTAGTAAGTCTGAAATACTTCTTAGCTTAAAGGAGTAAGAATGAGAGGAAAACGGTTAACTTCTAAAATGCTTGCTTGTGATTTATAACACTATATTAAACACTCCTGAAGTCCCCTCATTTTCTCACCTCAAATTATAACATTTTGAATGTTAAAGAACAACATTGACACCTTGTGGTGAACATCATAAATTATAGTATCCAATGTAAAAACAATAATGTGGCTTCTAATTAAACATCTGTTTACATGAAAACTAACCCTTAATCCAGGGATTTCCAAGGGTTAAAAGAAAAATTTGATGCAGTTATGCACACTAACATCAATTCGGAAAGAGTTGCTAATGATACTTGGACAACACTAAATTCAGACTGAATTTTAGCTTGTGGCAAAAGTGCAGAGGCTGGTACTTTCCTACAAAATGCTACAATATATTCCACTTGAAAGAAGTCTGTGTCCTGTGCTAACTAGTCAGTTTTCCTCTCCCCCCCCGTAACACTTTCAAAGGTTAAAAAATAAACAGAATAATATTTATGATCGAGAATATATTTTCAAAAGCAGATGTAGGATACTAGAGTGCTAATCTTAACTCTAACTTAAAGTAGTATTTAATTAAATTTTGCTAACATTTACTGAAGCCAAGCCACTCTGCTTGACACTAAACTTAAGTCTAAAGAATAAAAAACATTTCATAAAATAGATAATAATCAAGCTTTATTAACGTCTGAGGAAACTATCATATAAAATTCTATTTTCTTTTTTAATTTTGACAAATACAATTTAAAGTTTCTGGTTTCACAGCTACTTCCTGGGGGCAGGTAATTTGGTTAGTAAATAAGATACTTGATCTGTCAGAAACTATGAATTTCTGTTAGCAGCTAAAAGCAAAACATGCAGTAGTGATGAGGATGCCACTGTAAATAAGGCAACCTGAATTGGAGAGATGACTGGAGAATATATGGAAGACAGTCTAGAAATGAACCCACTAAGAGCCAGGTTATTGCAAGGTCAATATTAAATAATGGCACAACTATCAAATCAGCAAGATGATTCTACATTTTTTAAGGGCTCCACACATTTCAGAATATATTCTATACCGTCACACTCTGTGCATATTATAGCCACCAGTCAAGGCAAGTAAATGAGACTCTGAAGAGAACTGCAAAACCTACTTAGATGCAAAACATTCATTTCAGCCTCCCCTTGAGTTCTGGCTAGTGCCCCATAAGATAAAGAAATCATCTAAAATCTCTTGCGCTCCGTTTCTACATTGAAAACAAAGGCTCTAATCCCTAGTTTGTGAACACAATACACAGTGAAAGAAAAGGGTATGAAAAGGAGACTGCTTTATAAATTGTACAACTTTGTAGCAACACTGTGTCTACTTTAGGAAGAATCAGAGAGATGAAATGAATTGGCATGATCAGAGATGATCCAGATATGAGGCAGGTAATGAAAGCAATCCCTAAGGACCCATGTTTCCTCCCAAATTCTAACAGTTTTCCCTCAGTTCCAGTGTTTCTGTGACATCACAGAGCTTCTGACAGCTCTACAATCTCTCTCCTCTGCTGATCAATCCCCAAATCTTCCTCTTTTCCCGGACTTTTGACTCCTTTTTAAAATTCTACTCATTTCTCTATTAACCTCAGACAATCTCAGACCTAGAAAACATCTTCTAAATAGTTACAGGGTATTTTGCTGAGAGGGTAACAGCAGTCAGGAAATATTAGTGGCTTGTTAACATTTCAAATAATTTCTCAACCTGAGCCTTTCAAATACTTAAAATTCAGTGTGTTTCAAGCACTGGATTAAAAAATACAAGTTAGGTATTTTGTTATTTTTTTTTAATATCCCCTTGAGTCAAACTGGCTCAATGTTGATTCTCCAGCAGGTTTTCAGAGACAGCAAATGCATGAGAGACTACCTGTCTTTCTTACGAGCAGCAGCTAGTGGACTGGAACCATGTGCCTTTGGATTGGCAGTACAACTCTGTACCACTAATTCACCAGACCTCCCCAGGTATTTTAGATAAGCTCAAAAATACAAATTATGCATGGTACCTCCCACACTTTATCTCCATCATTTAATTATAAAATCCTGTCCAATCTGTCACATATTCAAAATAGTCAGGGTGAAATCTTTTGAAAGTAAGTAGCAAAAGTCAGCAAAAGTATGTGGTTACTAGAGTTGAAACCATTGTCTCTTAAAAGCATTTTATTTAGTCCATGTAACCAAACCCAGTTTCATCATGTGTAAAAAGACACAAGTTCTGCAAAAGAAAGGGCCATTATATAATGTTTATAGAATAAGCATTTCTTCAATTATCCTTCTCGGCTATTCTTCTAGTAGATACATTGAGGATGTCTCATGCTCTAAAATTTATGATGTGTTAGGCAAACATTAGAAAAATTCTGCCAAAATTGAGTTTTAATGAATAATTTGTCTGTCTAGGATGAACATAGGGTGAGTGTCACTGTTAACTTTATTTTAAATTGCATTTATTTTGGTAGTCTGCCTCCAGGGAAAAGATCCTTGATGATGCACCACATTTAAAATTAAAAATAATTTTTAAAAGTCTTTCCAAATTAGCCCCAGACATTATGAAAATACAGAGCAGAGGCTTTTAAGCCTCTGAGCAAGAGACTCATACAAAGCTCTTTTGGTCTGCCAAGCATACTTCTTTTAAGACGAACAGCAGGTCAAAACTATAAGCCATGTGTAGAGCTATTGGAGGGTTTTTTTAGTGTTGTTGTAGTTAAAGTTTTAAAACATCTAAATTTTACACGACTAGTTGCGGCACTTTGTTTGCAGAAGAGCTGAAAACAGCTCATGTCCATTTCAAGTTCACTGGCTTCCAACCACTTCTCCTGTCCAGAGAAAAGGAAATAGCTTTCCCAAAGCTTTGTGAAAGAGATAACTCATTGTTGCTCCAAAATTTATGAAGCTCTCACTTAAAAATGCTAAGCCTGAATAACTACTTCTAAAACGCCCATACATTTCCTCACACTAAAATGTCACAAACTCAGAGGAGGAAGCTTCTTCAGAAATTTCAAGAGAGGTTTCTTACCGTAGTAATGAGAATACATCATAAGAATTCCGAACACAGTTCTGATCCACCTGAAGAATATTCTTCGGAACACTTGAATAACCCTGAAAGAAAATAATCAACAAATTATCAATGAAAATGTAAACAGGAAATCTATATACAAATTCACAATAATTTCTCTTTTTTATTATGGGTTATAAACATCTCGATAAGTTCAAATGGTTAGCATTTCAATGAAAGTTTAGTGCAACTCCCCTAAGACCGAAGTCTAACTTTGTAGGAAACTAGGTCCAAAATAGTTTCTTCTACCATTTTCCCACAGACATAATGTTTCACATTAAAAATTGTAGTAAACTTCTCAAGAAAGCCCCAGAAGTATTTTTAAGGAATTATGTGGCTGAAAGGGGGCATTAATGCTAATACTGCACCTATACCTAGCCATCACATGTAACATGTTTACGGAAAAAAAAAAATAAATTCCAAGTTCCAGTCAGGGACAACAGAAACAAATATTTCCACAGTGGCATAAAAGTGGTAAGAGCAACACTGTTTCTAGAGTGAACACAGCATAATTCTATTAAGAGAACAGAACTGGTATTTCTATCAGTGTGAAGGGTAAAACAAATAATGGTTAAGAACAAAGATTATGGGTCCAAAGAAATTGGGTTCAAAGTCAACCTTTCGATACCTGAGCTCTGTAATCTTGAGTAAACTACCCAAACTCTTAGTTTAACCCTCGTTTCTTCTTCTACAACATGGAATGATAATATCATCTACCTCAGATTATTGTGAAAATTAAATTAGTATTTGCCAAGTGAAAGATAAATAATGCATTAGTATTATTTTGAAATTGTGTTTACAAACACTAAATGAATACTAAAAGAAGATTATACGCAATTATAACTAACATCAGAGTTTTTATTTAGTTCTGGTTCTGTCATGGCCAATGAAGTGAAAACCAAGACAGACCTCAGTTTGTAAGAGGTGGGTATAGCAGAATGATAATCAGAACAGGGAAATCTTGGGTTGACACAAGGTTAGGCACATAATCTCCCTCTTAGAAAAAAACCAGCAGTATACCACGGTTCCGTTAGAAGCAAGCAAGGTTGGTGAAACTTCATCTCCCATACTTTAGGCATGTTCTCAGAAGGCATTAGTCCTTAAAAAAGACATCATGCCGGGAAAGGCAGAAAAGCAGTGAAGAAGAGGACAACCTTCAGGAAGTAGGACTGGCAGAGTTCTGACAAAGAGCTTGAGCATGTCAGAGACCCTGAGGATGCAGGATAGAGCAAGGTTCAGACCTGTCATTCACATGGTCATGATGAGTCACAGTCAACTCAATGGCATATAACAAAAACAACATGTCCATTGCATATGAGCAAAGTCCTTAAACACTGGAAGCAAAAAACTCAAAAACGAAGGCTGACCACATCACTTCCAATTTGTGTCGTGCTCTACAATCCTGGAAATAATCCAGTCTCTTACATCAGGCTTCTGAAAGGGCTCACTATGCTTCTTCCAAGTCCCCCATTCCATGGCTTTGACTCACAATTTTTCCTGCTTTGGTTATCATGCTGGCACACTCACATTGTACAAACTGTAGTTGTTCAGCCATGAGTAAGTGGGTTTGAATCAGTTCAAAGCCCTGGATAACACATGACACTAATATACAACAACTTAGATGAATTAGAATTCTTTTTAAATGCCAAAACTTAAATAAATTTAAACAAAACTATCTAAATAGCCTTAGATTTAAATTTTTAATGACTACGTAACTGAAAATAACTCACAAAGAATAATAATTATGTCCAGAGAGTTACACTGATTAAATCTATCAGACATTAAAGGAAGAAATAACACCTATTTTCCAGACACTCCTTCATAAAATTGAAGAGATAGAACAAGTTCCAACTAATCTCATTATATCAGCATTACTTCTATCTCAAAATCTGACAAAGACATCATAAATGAGAGAGAAAATTATGGACTAATATCTCTCATAAATACAAATACAAGCTGCAAAATAAATCAAGAAATATATTACAAGGATAAAATAACACATCTCCACTATTAACTGGATTTATCTAAAGAACACAGCGAGTTTAACCTTTATTGATCAATTACACAAAAATATAAAACAATAATTATAAATCTATAGGATTTGTTGCATGAAGTATAAAGATGAACTCTGTAACATTAAAATTATTTTTAAGTATAAAGATTCTTTTAAGTGCTAAGATGGTGCTTTATGGAAGGAAGCAAAGACTTCTAATATTTTTTTTTAAACCTAGTAATTATTAGTTCTAACTAGAGTGCTATAAATTAAGGCATTAATTGTAATTCCTGTAGCAATCACAAATGCACAGTAAAGTAATGAGAAGGGAGTCAAAATGGTAATCAAGAAATTATCTATTCACAGTCCTGGAGAAAATGAGAAGTAGATACAATATAGACCATACACAAACCAAATACCAAAAGGACATATCTAAATCCTTAATACTAGGTGGATTAAAAACACATATTAAATAAGTATTTTTTTAAAAACATAGATTAAAAACCATGTACTATCTATAAGAGATGCAAGTCAGAATAGAAGATTCAAATAGGTTGAAAGTAAAAGGATAGGAAAAAAGAATACATGCAAATGATAAAAGAGAACTAGAATGGCTATACTAATACTAGTCAAAAAGAGTTAGGAGATTAAAAAGGACATACTATATAATGATTTAAAGATCACTCTATCAAAAAGACATAACATTTACAAACACATGTACCTAACTACAGAGCCCAAAAATACATGAAGCAAAAACTGATAAAATGTTAATAGTGTGTAATACAATGAATGTAAACTTTGTAAGCAAACCAATTACAAAATAATGTAAAATAGAATGAATGATTGTACAAAACACAATGTAAATGAAAGATTGTACAAAATACAATGTATATGAGTGAAACATAATGTGAAGGAATTATTACATGACAACCAATAAAAAATAGTTAAAAATAAAATAGAAGGGAGAAAGGCATGGTTCAGCAGTAACAGTAAAGATATTGACCAATGACTGCACAAAATATAAGTAAAAAAATAGAAAGTTTGCACAAAACTATAACTAAGCCTGACAGACACAGATTAAATACTGTAGTCAACAATAAAATACACATTCTTCTCAAGTGCACACGGAACAGCCACCAGACCCGATTATAAATGTAAGGCAATAAAGCAAGTCTGAAATAACTTTTAAAAGATAAAAATCATATAAAGTATCTTCTTTAACCACAAAATAAAGTTAGAAAGTAATAGCAGAAAAAAATTTGGAAAATTCACAAATATACTGAATGTAAATATATACACTTAAACATTAACCAATGGCTAAAGAAGAAATGACCAGGAGACATTTAAGAATACTTTGTGGTTGGGGGGATGGGAAGAGCACATAACTGTGGTATAACCATACAATGGAATAGTACCTGGCCATGAAAAAGAATGAAGTACTGTCACATTCTACAATACAGATAAACCTTGAAGACATTATGCTAAGTGAAAGAAGCCAGCCACCAAAGGTCACATATTATATGGGCTCCACTTATATCTAGAATAGATAAATTCCACAGAAAAAAGAATGGTGGATGCTACGGCCTAAGAGAAGGAAGGACTGAGTAGTGACCATTTAATGAACATAAGTTTTCCTTCCAGAGTGATGAAAAGAATTTGAAAGCAGACAGAGGTGGAGTTTGTAAACTCTGTGAATTGTACTCAGGGCAATGGAATTATACACTTCAAAGTGATTCATTTTCTCTTACATAAATGTCACACAAATTGGAAAAAAGATGACTATTAAAATAACCTACGTATCAAGGAAGGTGGAAAAAGGGAAGACAGAGATACAACAGAGTTCTTTAAATTAATATATAGAATTCAAATAATAAAAGACACTAGAAGCAGATTTAAGATTGTCAGGCAATATAACTAATGGTGTTCCACTTGGATTTTTCCTATTTTATGCAAAAAGGCAGCCAAACATTTTTTTCTGATATTAAAAAATCATCCATACCCACTAACCTACAACTAAAAGCAACACATTACAGCAGAGAAGGCCAACACTGAACTGAAAACCAGGATACTTCATTTTAATCTTCGCTGCCTGTTATTCAGTGAGGAAAAGTATTTAACTCCTTTTTAGGCATCAGTTTCATCAACTATAAAAGGATTTCTGAAAATGAACAAAAATGATAGAAACACAAGAATAATCCTTATGAGCATTCACAGTATGCCAAGCAGTGCTGTGTTTTACATGTATTGATATTTACATGTATTGATATATTCAGTCCTCTTGCAAGCCTGTAAAATAAGACTGTTGTCCTCACTTTTTAAGGTGAGGAAACCGAGACACGGAGAGGATTAAGTGGAAGAGCCAAGCAGTCTGGCTCTACAGCCCAAGTTCTTAACAAGCACGCTATACTTGATGATCTCTAAGACCTTTTCCAGTTCTTCAATTCTGGGTCCATGGACATTTAAGGCAACTTAAGGGCATTATTAAACCCTTCTGCTTTAGCTGCCACTTAGCAATTAACATTCTTGAAATATGCTAAAAGCCTTGTTCTGAATGACATGTAACTTCACCAGATGTGCAATCCCAAGAGGAAGGAGGATAATAAGGGAAAGAAACGTCTCATTTGTATCTGGTTATCTGTGTGAGATAATGCCAAGTGCCAGAGAGCCCAGAGGAGATTTATATGTCACTCAAAATCCTTCTGTAGCCAAGCCTAACAATTCTTTTTCAAGGAAGGGAGCAGTCCCGAGTCTGCATGAGTGTCAAACTGTTCAGGAAAACAGGTAATTTCACATGTCCAATGAGCAGGAGTAATTCCGGGCAGATTGGTCAGGTGCATTTCTAGATCAGTGGTCAGTAAATTTTTCCTGAAAAGAGTCAGTAAGATTTGTCCCATGTATTCATTTCTTTTGTCAATTCTTTTAAAACACAAAAACCACTCTTAGCCCACAGGCTTTACAAGCATATGTTGGACTATAGATGGCTCACTCCTGTACTGAACCAACAGATGAGTCACCACTTTAAAACTGATTTTGAGAGTTTTCAACTGTTGG